CTCTTAACAACGTGATATAAATTTTCTTACCTCTTTTTTTTAACTATGTCGTTACACATAGTAGTGTCACAAGAGTCTTTATGCAGTAAGTATATCAAAACAGTGTAATCATTGAAGATTGTTTATTCATAGGATGAATTGCACTGGAAAAATTCTTAAAATTGTTCAATGAGACCAACTTTTGCTTGTACAAACTGAGAAACGTTCATTGTTCAGATAGTGGAGGTACTGTATACACTGCTGAAAAATAAATTTCTTTATCAGTTTTTAAATTTTTAAATCAATAATGTATTCTAATTTTCATAGACGGTGCACATCACGTTAATTGTTATACTAATTCTAACTCTTTTATTACTAATTCTAAAACTTCTTGTTCTTAAAATCTAATTCCTTATCAGTACGCAACCAAATTTGTCGCAATCCATGAAACCAATGCAGTAATTCTCCTAAGATTTCCTCGAGTGTCTCTTTTCCCTTCTCCTCTGACCCTCTTCTACCCTTCATCTCGACGTCCAAGTAATAAATCTCCAGCACCGCGAGTATTTGTGTGCATCGTCGCGGGGAGAGAGAACTATACAAATGTTATTTGCTGTCTTAACGCGTCCTAACGATTCACAGGCGCTAAATCATATAATTAGAGAGGCTCGGGATTCGAGCTGGTGGCGCAATTGGTCGCGGAGAACGCGGGAAAAAGAAAATGGGGCCCGATGGCGGGATCCTACTATCCGAGCATTCCTATGCAATTATAGTTTCCTTTTATCGCGTTGATCATACACCTGGATCGAGGGATCCGGTTTTACACCGAGCCACGAATGCGTAATGCGTGTTCATTATCGGTCCCGTTGAAAGTGGCCACACGAGGATCTATAATATTTCGCATACGTGATCGATTTGCTTGTGCAGCGCGAACGGCCAACGATAATAGACGCGTGTACACTGGTAAACGTGTACACAAGTAAATCGCGAGAATTCCGATTGAATTATTTCGTTATTTCCCAAAGGACGGCAGAAGATTGCCAGAGTAACGTTTGTTTACGCGTTCTCGTGGCTACTAATTATCTATCTGTAACCCCATGTGAGTTTTAACCCTTCTAGATATTACACGGATATGTTCATACCGATGTATTATATTTCTTTACTTTTATTTCATTCAATCGTCATTGTTGTGGGAATTGTAATGGGCAAACGGTGTCAACACGTTGTATATATGCACTTGGTTATTAGTTATCCACCTATAACCCCATGTGAGTTGGATATTACAGAGTACATGTTGATACCGATGTATTCATATATTTCTTATTTTTGTTTCATTTAATTGTTATTGTTACGGGAATGGTAGTGACTCATTGTACACTGGTCACCTGAAATTCCGTGGTTTTGCTAGTACGATGTGCACGTGTGATAATAGTCACCTGCCGCTATTTCTGGAGTTAGTAAAAATATGGAACTACAGGCTATGTTATGGAAATGTAAAAAGTTCTTAATTTCTACATATATTTATACCCTGATAGAAACAATTTAACCAATGCACATTGTGTTAATAGCATAGATCGTGCAGTGAGGTAGGCAAAGGTAAATAAACCTCTCCTTAGATGAGGTATGGATTAGCTAGGGACTAAAAGCAACTTGCTTTAAGATTTCTGCTTATATACTGCTGCTTCTGGTGGAACTTATATTGACTTTTATTTCGATAGCAACGTAACTATGGGATATGTAATGATTTCCATTATACGACTTTAATTATTGTTATTTGGGCAGAGTATATTTAGGTGTACTTAGTCGATCGGTAGTTCTAGTGTTAATTGAAGAAGGCGCGATAGGTACGTTATCTTTTATTTCCTGACTTTAATGTCAGTGGTGGTCGACAAGAAGGATTTTATCACGATATACGTAATTGGAAGAAGAAATGACTTGTTACGTTCAGCGGTGTGGATCGTTCAAAAATAGATATAGAACCAAACTGGTATAATTATTATCATTACCCTCGATATTTTCAAAGTGGTTACCAGCTTGACAAAAATAGATATTTAATTTCAAATTTAAGTATAGATACAATCTTACTGGCATGGTTTTAATTCAAATGGTTCTGAACTTTTTAAATTTCAGTCTTATATACAATATATCTATGGATTTCTTTATTAATTCGATAAAAGTAATTTAATTGTCAATTTACTTTATTTGTTAATAGATTACATTATTGTCTCCATAAATATTTATTCTTTTCAAATCAGTATCAGAAATTATAGTAATCATTATGCTTTCCTCCGCAAATAAATCAAATTCTGCAAGTCTTTGCAGAATTTGCATTTACAAGCCGGTTTGAAGCGATTTTTCTATGACGAGTATAGGAATCGGGAATTTCGCGAAAAATTGCCCACGAATGCAAACGACCTGGCCGTTCCACGCGCGTAAACTGGCGCAGGTAACTGCAATCTCCGTGTCCCGCTATGTGTTATGGGAAACCTGCGCATTTTCGCGGGACGATATTCAAAATATCTCTATCACCAATCCTAAGATTGGATCCAGTCGTGTCAGTAACTGTATTAGGAATTATGGTACAATCACACGGTACCATATTGCATTTGCTTATTTGCAGAATGAATAAATTGACGCAGTTGAACGGAAAAAGTAAAAATAGAATAACTTAAATACTACATACCCTGTTAATAAATGGAGAAGTTTCCGAAGAATTATAAAAAATTCAATGTCTTTTCCATATGTGTTGAGTAATATTATTAAAAATGAAAGAAAATTATAAATCTTGTCTATTTCAATAAAATTAAACATTTGTCATACATTCGTATGCAAAATACGCAAATTTAATACACAGGTTCAATATCGCAGTGCCTCTGAAATACACCGTGACCCAAATATGGAATTTCTACAACTGCGATCTTCGCAGAATTAAATTAACTACCACAAGTTTTACCGTGAATAAGAAAATAACAGCGGCATCGTTAAATCCGCATATTAAACTCATCCTGGATATAAAAGTTTCCGTAAATATCCCGTTTCCACGATTTCCCGTAAAACATCCACCTGTTAGCTCGTTAGAGAACGTCTTTCGTACCACTTACATAACATACCACTTCTGCTCACGCGTGTTCGCATATTTCTATCCCCTTTCTGATTCTGCATATACATATATCGTGTCGAGTGTCATTATCTCGTAACACCCACGTTCCTCTATGCCTACGCGAAGTCCATTACCTTCACCCGATCGTGCATTGTGAACGCAGCATATGTAAATAGAGTAGATACACGATTGCCGACAAGGTTGTAGAATGGATCGCGCAAACGGTTCGCATTTACAGGTTAATGAGATGAATTGTACGATACAATGGACCACCTACGCGACTGCGACTGTCCTTAGAACTAGATGCGGGTGAATCTCGACGCAGACGCACATTTGAATTACGCGCCACTTGTGCAGTGCAACGTTGTACGATTTCTCGGTATTGCATAAGCGCTCGTGGGCAATGCTGAAAGTTCAGATAAAATGACGTCAGGTGTTAATATACTAGACACATATTTTCGTAGATTTTTTAGAAATATATTCTAATTTAATTCTTGTAGAATACAATTTCGTTTCCTTCTTCTTATGATCGTGGAAAGTATGCAAAAGAAAGAATTATCGAGTATTGATGCTAAAGGTAAACATATATGCAAGAAGGATTCTTGGTTTCTCTAAGTTTAGGTTATGGTCGAATAATTATAAGCATTATAAGATTGTATAGAAGAACGATAAATAAAATTAAAGATTCAAGTTGCGTGTAATGTTTCAGTGTTTTTAATATTTAATTAAATCTCTGATTTATCAGAGTTTATGAATTCTTTGCACAAAGTGTCTTATAAAATATATGAATGTCTGCAAAATTTTGCTTACAGCGAACGTAACTAGTCACTTTTACATTCGCTCGTTAGTACTTCGATATAGTTGTCTGGCAAGCAATCAGCTGGGATCACTCCTTGCCGACAAATTAGAATTTTTACATTAGTAGAGAAAGCATTAAGAAATGAAGTTCCCCATGTTCCTTAATTACATCGTTGTGTTATCTTCTATCTCTTTGATCGTTGTTTGAACCGTTTTATACCTTGCTTTAAATCTAGTAATTCTTAGAAATTCTTAGAAATTCGCGTTTATATCCGCTGAACACTAGAACAGCATTCATAACGAAAAATAAAGAAATAAAATACTTGCAACAGTAAGAAAATTTAATTTCATTCTCGAATATATTAAAAAAAAAATAGGATGACAAGATGTAAAAAATGTACACGTATAGACACGTTGAAGAACACATAAAAATATAAGTCATTCATACCAAAAAGAAAATATCTTTCTATTAGTCTTAGTCAGAGTTTAGAAAATTTCAAATCGACAAGAAAGAAGGGAAATATAAAAATATAGGTCGTTCGTGATAGATAAGCAATGCTGGTCGTCAATTTAGAATTGATTGCTGCAACAAGTTAGGTTCTATTTCGTTCTACCTTTCTCATATCTATGCATATTTCACAAACATCGTGCAACGCGGATTGTTACATTAAAAAGGATAAAACGGAAGAAATTTCCCAGGCATCAAAGCTGAACTAGGACAACAGAGGTTTAATTAACATAGCAATCATACAACATAAGAGTACAACTTCCAATGTTTCATTTCAATCGATCGATTCCCCACGATACGGAGGCTCCTCTATTTTTTCCGGCATCAATTTAAATTTCATGCTCGTTTCTCTACCTCTGGATAAAGCACGAAGCCAACGAAATCGTACTTTCTCGCGGTGTACTTCGAGGCGAGGTAATTCAGTCGAAAGTTGCGAAGCAGAACGCACCGAGTGCAATCGTAACTCGATATTAAACTACAAGGGTTTCCGTACGCGCAATAAACTGTAATCACATGGAAATTTCGAGGAACGCGCTATGTACTGCCAAAGCATCCGTCATGGCAGGTATATTTCGTATTGTCACGATTTTTAATAAGAAACACCGCGTGTGGTTGCAGGCATACATAAAGAAGGAATTGGGGAAGGTGGTGGTGTACACGACAACCTCCGGTATCGTGAGGAAAACGTTCTACAACTGCAAGAAGGTGAAACAGATTCTGAGGACGCACATGGTCAAATACGACGAGTTGGACCTGTTCGGCGATGCCGAGCTGCAAACCGAGCTGAGAGATCGCTTGGGCTCCACGGTTATTCAGTTGCCGCAGCTCTTCATTGATGGACAACACATTGGGGTATGTCAATCTGTAATGTGTATTTAATTATACTTGTCCTGGTATTTTAAGAACAATTTTAATAATTAAAGAGTTACTTAGAACCGACTTTTAATTGAGGGATTTAGTTAATTATATTCCTATTGTGAGGACGAGGTTAGAAAGGCACAAATACACATACGGATCTCTGGTTGTAATAAATAATAATATAATTGGAATATAAAACACTGAACTTTTGCTATACGTACTCTAACATTTGCCATTTCGGCACTGGCCCTTGCACATTCCTAACCTCAAAATGAGTAGCTGGAGAAGTTTGTGATTTGAATACATTTAATGTACATATTAGGTGAAAAGTTTGATGAAACATATTTTGAGGATTGATGAGGCGAATGTTTTAGAGCAGTGTCCTATTCGTGTAGGACTTATAATCAGCTGAATTCTTCAAAGGAGGAGGGCATATGATATTTGACATTTGAAATATACATAGGTCTTCTCGTAGGTGCAAATATCGTTGCCATGAAGTTGTTGTAGGCGCGGAAGTATGGTATAAATATTATATTTCTGAAGGTTATGGGTAAACGGAAATAAGGGGAGAGTGTCAGATTAGGGGAAAAATGGCGAAACGATGTTGTAATCGTAAGGTGAAGTAGGCGTTAAATTTTGAAAGTCATGTTCATTTAGTTCCTAAACTTGGTTCCAAAATTTAAAATTAATTAGAATTTACTTCTACTGTTCAGGTACGCTATCAAGAATATATCTAATATCTCGATCCTTCAAGAGGAATAGGGACCAAGTTTCTTACAAACTTTTTATCATAATTTTCATAAAATGATCGATGTACTACGATAACACCTTTAAGTGGATGATAAGGTCAACTTATGGTATGGAATATTACGTATCTCGTGTCGGATGTTACACGTCCAATTATATGATACATCACGGATTAAACTGTATGCGCGAAACGAAAGCTTTAAAACACGACACTACTACATAACTCGAAAAACCAATTTTCCCCAGGTCAGAATTAATGCTAACTCAAATTCATACACACGCACAATCAAAAACAAAATCACAGTCCGGAAAAAACGTCGATCGAACCTAACCTAACCGAACCTAACCTCACCCAATATAAACTAGTATCTAGTCGAACGAGCGCGCCGTAGGAAACCAGCAAGGTAAAATCTATTTACTCGTTACTCGCGTTAATACCGACGCGAATAATTATCGATGCTTGTCGAGGCCCTCATTAAAATAGCTAATATACCAGCTATAGTAATATTAGCATAAGATTTCAGCGAACGTTCGCTGGAGATCGGCCGCCATCGGCACGTGTCTGGTCTCCTCGCTACAACATGCAATTCCGCGGTTATCAGCGACGTTGAATAATGAAACGTGAGCATCTGCTGGCGATCGTTTCGACAAGCTGCGTTTGACGCCCGTTGAACAGGCCTCGGCATCGTCTCGTCATTCTCTCGCCTACAGAGAGATCTGGTCGCTTCTTCTCAGTCCATCCCTTCCGTGCATGTAGCGCCCTCAACTCTGCAGTCTCGTCGTGGTCCTCGCGCAAATTTCTCGCAAGGCCGAAGTCGCGTTATACAACGCAGAGCGCTCGAGAAAGCGGCGAAGACGCGACTGGAGAAATCAACGTGAAATGTCAAAGATGACCGACGAGCGGCGCTTACAGGTTCGTAACCGGAAATCTGCGAGCGACGTAGAGTTACGCAATCGATATGCACGAGAAAGTCCTTTGTGCGCGGTTACCCATGCACGCGCTTTTACCGACCGTTCATCGATCATAAGGTTTCAAGAAGTTTCGCGGTGGCGTGGAGGGACACCGGTCGCGTACATTTACAATGGTTCCGCAATCGCGATTTCTTCCTTGCCACATCGCACTTTGTTCCGCGTCGTTCGCCGGTTTCCACGATTGATCGAGAGATTCAGCAGGTTTTCTGACAAGTATTGCATGGAGAATTTGAAACACTTTGTTCCGCGTCGTTCGACGGTTTCCACGATTGATCGAGAGATTCAGCAGGTTTTCTGACAAGTATTGCATGGAGAATTTGAGGAAAAGTATACTAGGTTGAAATATATAGCATCCAAATATCTCCAAACTTAACCTAAACTTAGATAAAGTTCAAAACAAGTTTAATAAATAGAGAATAAAAGCGAACGAAGTAAATACTGTACATGCAACATTTTCGTTACACAAGGAACATGCTTATTCGTGAAGTGGAGTTGGCTGGGTCGGTTAAATATTTGAGTTTGCGCCTAGATCGTAAACTAACTTAGAAGATACACATATAGAACAAGAGAAAACAACTTCGTCACTTAAATTATTTATTAATATAGATGGAAGGACATAAATCAATATAGTAAATCGTCTAAGGAAACGAAAAAGTACGTTGCCTTGACAACCATATTGGAAAAGACATTGGTAATGGAATTGAAGATCCCTCTATTAGTCGTGATCGATTTGTAGGTAATGTCGATCGACATTGTTACCGTCGATGACGAGTATCACGGAAAAATTCAGGCGAGTTTTGCCAATTTTCGATTTTGGTGTTACGTCCAGTGGAACGATTTCGCGTTCGTTATTTTTCTTACTGTGTGTTCGTGACTGTTACGCGGAATGCACTGTTTTTCTGCTACGTTTACGACGATACTTTTACTCGCTTTGCTAGTTACACGCGTGCGGCGCTACATTCCACCCCAATTTGCGCTTCGCTTACTCGCGCAGAGAATGATACTCTTAATTAACTTTCGCGTAAAAAGAATTTTTTTATCGAATTAAATTAATGAAATGGAAATTATCAGTCAGTGCTCTTGATTAGACTAAAAACTGAAGTTAGTCAAAATTTATTTTATTTGGATCTGTATATACAGTAAAACATCGATTAGTTGAATTAATCTTCACAGACAATCGTTCGAATAATTATAATTTTCCAATGATTAAATAACACTGCTTCATGCAAAAAAATTGTCGTCAGGGTTAAAGTATTTTACGAAATACGAATATTAAATGAAAAGAGAAGTTTTTCTTGAGTTCATCCCCAATTCAAGTAATCGTGGTTTCACTGTGCCCATTAGAAGGAACATTTAGGTTAACTGGAGTAAAAGTGTGCCAAAGAGCATAAGATAGGAAGTATGAAGTTAGATGAAATCTATCACCCCGTGTAATTTTCATATTTCCTGGTGAGCATGTCTAGAAGGTATTCCTCGAGGGCATATACTTATGTATGAACGATTGTGACTGAAAAGTGTTACGCCAATGCAATGATGTATTCCGGAAGATTTCAGCGAAGATGCACTTAAGTGCCATAGAACGTCAATCACTCGGGATAGAAATCTGAATTATCCTCGTTTCTGTGGAAATAATAAGCGTACGTCATTAGGTATCTCACGAATGCAATAGACTTTACCAAGGAAAACAAAAGAATTGTAATTTTTACATTCACGTATTATCATAAATTTGACACGAATAACTCTAGACAAAAGCTATTATTAGCTAATTGTTACAGTCTTACCATAACACCCTTAAATTATATTTTTCAATTTATTTCAGTCACCTCGTCACGGTTACTGTATCCGACTCGCATAATTCATGGTATACTTTCTAATCACGCCTCTGTACTTAAATCTCGCAGTCAATAATTATCTCAAACCGAACATGCGGGTATCCATGAAACAACGTAATAGCAAACTTACATTGTAATCCTACATACATCGAATTCTCCATCGAAACACTTGCATGACACGACACTTAGGGTTAGGTATATGCTATCACAATTCCGCAAACCGGGTATAAAAAAGGAAGACAGAAAGAAGCGAATTGAACCTCACGACTGCCATCTACATCTAGCCTGCCGAGATTAGGGGTTAAAAGTAGAAATTTCGTCAACGAGGCAACGCGACCTTCATTCCTAGCTTCACCAATTCACTGCTTCGAAGCAACTCTCTCCACCCTGAGACTGGAACAGTCTAACAAAAGCACGTTCTAGATAGAAGGCAGCCTTCGAGGAACTTAAAGCTGCTCGAAAGGAAACAAACAAACGTGCGATTACATGTCATGCAATTAGACGCACGCCCCGTTAGTGGTGCGGTGTGCAATTACGCCTCAACTCGGCGGCTAATAAATTGCATCACAGGGAGGCTGGAGAAATTCCGAAGAAATTGCCAGCATTCCAAATAGCTCTTGAGCGAATACCGAAAAGTTACGCCATTTCGCGCGAAGCTGAGCATTCACCGTGACCAACGTCGAAAAGGAACTGAACAATCGGATTGGAAATTCGCACTGGTTACCTTGTCCCAATCAACATCTTATAATGACCATTTAAATAACACCCTCTCGATCTGTCCTGGCCAATTAAAAGAAATAATGAGAGACTTTCATCATCGTGAGTGGCCAACATTTGGAGTCATTCGAATGTGTATAGTTTGTCGTCCATTTACTAGTGAATAGCCAGATCAATTACTATTTGGGTTGGCTGTTTATGTATCAATGATGTTTGCTGCGTTAAACGTTGGTTATGAACATTTGCGAATGTTTGCGCGTGTTTGCTAACGTTTGCGCGTGTTTGCAAACGTTTGTGTGTGTATGCGAATGTTTGTACGTGTTTGCAGCCGTTCGTGGTCATGCTAGAACGATGATCGAGTAGATTTGGTAAACAAGTGCTTGCAGACTAGAAAAAATCTACAAGCATTCGTAATTGGACTCTAGAACAGCTTGGATGACAGTTGATAATAGTGTAAGAGATACATACTGTACAAGAATGCAAACAAACGGGGAATTTTCCCCGATTCATCGACATCGGTACTAGTACGCTTGGCATACGATTATCGCTGTTACCTGATGGGTAAATCATTCATATTGGGAATCTTTTCACTGTCAAAGCGATGAAGAATGTTGCTGTTATCTTATCTAACCAAATAGTCAGTTATGTGTCTCTAAATGTTCGTATCTTCGGTATCAAGATATTACTATTATTAACTAGTTGTCTAAGTCAAAAAACTAGCTTAATATGTGATATTTAATTCTGTAGAAACTAATTAACCCCATTTAAATAGGTCGTTTGTAAATTGAAAGTTACTAGGTATTATAAGAATTGCATAACGAGGTTTGTGACGTTTGATGATAACAAGGGAAAATGAAGTTATAAAAGCTGATCAGTTTGGTTTCCACGTGGCTCGAGCAATTATGCGAACACATTTACATACACGTCGGAGGTATGCTGTGCCATTAAGTGAACGTAAATTTTAATAATTTTCCAATATCCGGAAAATGTATGCTCCTCGTGGCGATTTTATTCGCCATTTTGCGATGGAAACTCAACACAGCTAAACGAATTGCAGACGAATTGCAAGCTTTTTTCGGTGAACGATCAAAGGACGAATTACTTTGCATGCCATTTCGCTTTTGCAACAGTTTAAGCGGAGAAATGTCTTAAGTTCCAAAGGAAGATTTTTCTGCCAAGTGTCCTGGAACATGGTTGAGTGAGAAAAAGGGGAAACGATCTAACGATGTACATAATTACGTGTATACGGAAGTGAACAGTTTCATAGATATGAGAGATTTTATGACATGGAAGCGTATATAAATATATTACGAAGTTTCTTTTTGTTCATGAGATCTAAGGGCATCCTCTCACGATCTTTCCCTCGTTATGGTTTCCCATTATTGGTGAGAATAATGTACTTTTTCCCATATTATAACTCAACGGTCAACGTGTGTATGCAGTGTACACATGGAGTGTAAATATGCAACGTATGGTAAGATGAAATAATAAATTGGAAGGGAAAAGATCTTATAGACAAGTTTTTACACAAACGTATGCGTATTAACAAACTTTTTATTAATTTTCATCGGATTTAGTAGCCAATTAACTGTACATCGATGATTTCTAAATGGTAATATTCCGGTTGTAAATACTTTTGTCAGTGTGTTTGCCATTTACGTAAACGGTTATTCGTTTTTAAATTATTTTTTAAGAAAGCGAAAAAAGAGAAAGTGTAAATGGAATGCAGCTTAAGAATCGTAAAGTGGAATTACCTCGGGCTTAATAACAGCTACGTTGACCCTCACCTTTCCAGCATTATGACATTTTGTTGTTCATTTTCCAATTTGTACCATTTCACCGTGGTTTGGGTAGAAATGGAAAGAAATTATTAAATGTAACTGTGGTTAAGGCTGCCTTTAATGCGAATAGTTTCTGCTAGAAGCGATTCCGAGTACAATACGTTAAAATTGTTGCCCGTTTCACCGCTTTCTCGTATTATTTTGCGAACTTTCAAATTTAACATTTTCATCCTGCATTTCTACTCCTGTAGTTTCAACTTGGTCGTTTCTTTTTCAGGCTCTATTGTTACGTGACAGAAAATGTGTCAAAGGGCTATTATTTATGATATTTTGACATCTAGAAACTGCAGTTCTTTTTGAGGATTTAAGAGGTGAACGTAAAAGACATAGGAAGGTTTCGTATTCCTCTGAGAAATAAGCAATTTAAATTACTCTATACAGCTTACGTTCGGAGATCATAAAGAAAAAGCATCGTGAAACCATGTACTTGTTGGCTCCCTTTTGATGCTGCTTTCATCTTTTAATGTTCTCTTTTAATCTGGTGACTAGAATGACGAAAAGGCGTACAACATAAAAAGCACGTACTTTAATTAATATATGTGGCTTTGTAAAAGTCAACAGCATAATTACATCTTTATCACAGTCAATATTTTCTAAATATTCGATAACGTGGTGAAGATATATATTTAATTCAAAGAATGATCAACGAAAAGTGTATTTAATCGGAAAATATAAATAATCGTGTCAAAAAAAAGATAGGAAGAAAATATATATGAAGTAAGGAAGAAATAATTCATATCTCTTTTCTGTATCAAAAAGAAAATAGTCGAGAGTGGCCACAAACTTTTTATAACGGGTAATAGAAGCCTCTGCAGAAGGAATCTGTCAATCAAAACTTCGACCTCGCTATTTCAACCACATTCTGTCGCGTTCGCAATCGTTGCTTCCTCATCGCGACAAACACCGAGCACAGTTTCGCTTTCCGAACACGTATCGGGGGAGCGTGGCGTGTCGTCGCGCCATCAACGTGCCCGCGATTGCCCAATTTGCCAGAAGCGTCGCACCGCGGCGCTGGCTGTCGGGCCGTCGCGTGCACACGGTCGCATCGCCTCTTTGGTCACTCGCCGTAGTCCTCGGCCGAGCGTATAAACGGGCCGGCGAAATGTCAAATCGTTCGATCCAAGGCCTGCTGCGAGAATGAGAAGGACGCAGAGTCGGTACAAGAAAGATGGAATGAAAGGTGAAGTGGCTTGCGTTGCAAGGCGCAACTACGGTCCTCTGTGGTCTCCACGGCGGACCTGCCAGTGTGTGCAAACGAAACACACCACGCTCCAACCGCATTCCTAATCGACCACGCCACGTGATAGTCCTGCTCGGTCGTATACTAACCTCGAAAAAGTCTGCGAATAGACGCGTAGTTCGTGCCGTTCGCGTGCCTCCTCGCTCGTTCATGATGGTCCATCACGGTCCCGTTTCGACGTAACGCGATGCTGATGGATTAGAAACATAAGTTATGTTGGCTGAAAGGCATGGATCGTTTTTTCCTAACGGATTACCACAGCGTTCGTGAACGTCGAAAAAAATACCTTTACAAGTTTCCTCGCAGCACATTCCTCGGTCTGGGCTGGGAAGGGATACGGCTGAGATTTGGGATTCGAATGAATCACGATTCAGAGACTGATGAGGGTATTACGAAAGCGGTGAATTAACGACGGCGTCCTTAATGGAAGTGGTTAATTGGTTCATTAATCAAACGATCGGTATTCGTTATATCGTGATTATCAAAGAAGAATTTTGCACGACGGGGAACCATAATTGCTGCGTCCATTTAAATTCTCATGGCAATTCGAAACGCAGATTTGTTCCCTTTGGAGTCTGAGGCATTTTAATCGCCATGTGTTTTAATGCTATGACCTAAATAACGAATAGGAAACAATAATTATGTTAGGAATAGTTACGCATGAAATATCGAAATGAAATATTCTTTTTCACTCGTTTCTTGAGCAGGCGCCGATTTATTTTTTTATTTTAGTATTAAAAGCATCGACAAGCTTATAAAAATATAAGAAAATCTTCGAGTCGCTATATTTTATGAAAAAACCTTGCAACGCAGAGGATTAAATATTGAACTGTTAAATTGTATAATCAGTTTGCAAAGTTGCTAGAGATTGGACGCCAAATTTTTTGAGTTCATTTAGAAGTATAATGGCATTTGGTTTATCTTCTTTTTCCTTTCGTTCCTTTTTTTAAATCACTGTCGTTTAAAATGAGATTGAAGTTTCTCAAAATCTGTGCAAATTAAAAGAGAGTTGTTATCAACTGACAGGTCAGTCGCGATAAAATCCTTTAAAAGTAGGTTCCACGTTATACCGGTTCTTGTCCCACGCTTTAATGTCGAAACATTTCCACGGACCGAGTTAAAAATTGAGGCACGTTTTTACAGATCGCCTGCGCATTATTTGCCAATTCCTTTCACTGGAAGCCAAACCACTCTACGTACCGGTGCATTCCATTAAAAAAAAGAGAGAGAGAGAAAATAGGAATGAAGAAAATGAAAATTGGAAAAAGGGAGAATGAGAGGAAAAATAAACTGGCATCGTTAAAAACCATTGGAGTGTGTTTAAACAGAGGAGCTTCATAAAACGTTCATTACTAGCAGCTGTTGTCGCATATATGCAGGATAACACGCATATCATTAAACGGTCGACGATAAAATACCGTGAAATAGGGAAATCGTTTGACAGCAAAACCAAAGTGATTACGATGGCATTCAGTCGCGTAATAAATATTTTAATACGGTTCTCTTCCTTTATACAGGTTTACACGATCTTCCAGTGTCATTTCAGTAATGACATGCTTCGTAATCGTCACCGATTATCGCGGATTTGAAATTATAATTGACCTGTCCAGATGTACCTTTTGCAAACAAGTGAAGTGGAGTCGGGCGTCGCGCAGAGAGAAAGAGCGCGCGCGTGCGTGTGTATCTGTGTGAGAAAGAGAGAGAATGCAGACAATTCACTGGGTTTTATTAGCAGTTCACCATCGAATTTTATTAATATTGCGTTGTGGACTATCTTCGAGTTGTTATAAAATTATTTCTCTTTCCAGGGATTCGATACCGTGGAGCGACTCAACGAATCTGGAGAGCTGAGGGACATGCTTAAGCCTTACCAGGTAATTAAAAGTAGCATTTTATAAGTGTTTTCATCTCGGCTGGACACGAGAATAATTTATTTTTCATCGATAGCTTTTTTGAATACATTTTAATTGTCTCGGATGTATATGACGTCTCATTCAATTGGAACAAATTGACATGGTACACAATGGAACATATTTTCGAATTAATTTGGTAGATTTTGTGCATTAGTACACCTAGGAATAGATTGAGTATATTAGAAACAGGAGATATATAAACGGTGTCCCATGTAATCAGGATAAGCTGTTTTTTTTAATGATTATAGATATTATAAAAATAGAGGTGATATGTGTGTAAAAATTTGTAGAATTAATTATTAAGTAATTTTTACAGATTGTCTCAGTTGTGTGAGACAACCTGTATATACGTTCTATTTTCTAAAGTGCTCAGTAGATTAATTCGGTGATTAGTTTTCGGGAAACGAGTATCGATCTACGAGGTGATGATACATACGCTACTATAAATATGAACGTTACTACTATCCTAAAATAATGTATGGTTGGCGATTTCTTTTTCCTGTTATTATAAACATCCCTGCAAAAAAATTCAGCGCTATTATTAGTTGCATAAAAATACCAGATCAATAGATCTTCGCGTTAACACTATTTTTATAGTTTGAGCTCCAAGTCGACTTAAAAACAGCTTATTCAAATAGCTATGATTATAAAAGCAGCTAAGATTCCATGTTATTAAGAAATACCGTTCTAAAATGATTTAACCATCTATTAAAGATTGGTATTAAAGATCGGTAATATATAATACAATAATACGAAACTTAAGACCCATTCATTGCAAGAAGTATTCTAGAAGTATCGACTTAAAGCAACGTAACCAAACTAGTAATAAAAATATTATTACTCTCTTCATATTGTAGTAATAAATAGTCAAAGCAATTAATAAAATATTGAAGCCGAATTATAAATAGAGAGAATACTTAGTTATAATCGCCAATATTTCTCAATCAAACTTAACCTAAAAAGAATTCTAAATAGCGACATCTGCTGTAAGAGTTCAATTTGAATTACTCCTCCATCTTCGAATTTCGACATCGATGAAAATATTACAATACTTTTTGTACTAACAATTATAGCAATCAAACCAGATGATACAACTAAAGCCAAATTATGAATAAAGAAAACAAGACTGATACATAACCGCAAATCTTTCTCAATCGAACCTAACCTACGAAGCATCCTATACAGCGACATCTAATAATTCGATTTAATTCATTCTCCTTCTTCAACCATGGACAGAGACGAGAGTATTATATTTTCTATAGTAATTATTATAATAATCAAAGCAGTTAGTACATCATTAAATCCGAATTATTAATAAAGGAAACGGAACTGATACATAACTGTAAATCCTTCTCAGTCAAACCTAATCTACAAAACATTCTACACGGTGATATCTAACAATTGTATTCAATTCCTCTTTCATCCCTGACCATCGACAGAGACCAAAATATATTTTCTGCAGTAACTACTATAATAATCGAAGTAGTTGATATAACATTAAAACCGAATTAAAAGTGAAGGAAACAGGACTGTTACATAACCGTAAATCTTTCTCGATCGAACCTAACCTAAAAAACATCCTACACAGCGACATCTATTATAAGAAATTCGATTCAATTTCCGCTGCATCTTCAACTATCGAAAGGATCCATTCGTTATGGCACATCCAGTGTACGCTTATTTACCACGCTGTCTCGTCAACGCATAATCCCGAGGAAGAGCTACGACGGTGCCTGTCGATATTCCAACCGTCGAAGAGTTATTTGACCGTTTAGGAATTGCATGCCGATTCCGAGAATTCGCTACGCAACTGTGTTCCATGTCTTTGGAATATTTATGCCGCGTAGAAGAATGAAACAGCTGTGCCAGGGCATTATACACACAACCCCGAGCCATAAAGGAACCTGATCGTGTTGGCGGGCGCTCGCGTTCGCCGTAATCCGTCGTGGACACAAGGTTGTACGAATCCTTTCACTTTTATCCGCCGATATCTGCCTCCACCTTCCTTTTCCATCGCGATCATAAATTTCGACGTCGGTGCAATTGAGGTTTACCTTGCAGCGAGTAAAGGTCGTTTACACTGTCGCTGCCACTATCACTTTCCTGATACCCGCCCCATGTCACGCGGGCCCTTACGAATATCGTGGCTGTCCTTTGGACTCGTGCAAGGACACTCTTCACCTACTCGAAGGTCCCATAAATCAACCGGCAACTTCTTCCAATGATAATACACCGGCGTATTTGAAGAATGCCATTCGGTCGTTAGACACTCTCAGATTCTTTCTTCTCTTCATCCGTTTCACTCCGCTCACTCTTTGGAACCTCACGTGCGGTTAGCTCCCGTGGCAGGTAAATGCGTTTCTGATTTTCCTGCGGTAAGGATGAGACTCGAAGAATGAGTGGCGGTTACGTAATCCGTTGGCACAGGCTGGGAAAAATGGCGGATGGATGACAGGCTACGTATAATATTTTTTGTGTAACCGAGCTTCTGAATAGCGAAGCGTGTAATTAATAGAAAAATTTGTTGCAAATAACTGGTTCAAGGTGACGATATTATTAACGATACGTGGGTTGATCATTGAGGTTAGGTTATGTGGCTATTAAGTCTATAATTGATCTTTCGAGAAAGATAAAATTTATTGCATGCACAAAATTAAGTATGAATCGAAAACTGGATTTCTCATGAAAAATACGGCCAGATGTATTTTTTTTTTATCTTTAATGAAAGTTAATTACTAACCCGATTGGTGTGTCAGAAAGACGCGTAATTAAGTGACGCCCACGACCTACCCTTTCCCCCTATCTCTTTATGCAATACTTGCATAATGGATCATCGCTATTCTCATCTTTCTTCGCGCGATAAACATGTACCTTGTGCATGAAACATGTACGTAAGATTTGTTTCATTAATACGTTGAATGCCAATCCTGTCTCGTCATTTCCACTGCGCCTCAACTTCGTCTACACTGTACACCGGTGTTACGTCAATGTTCTGTTGACTCCGACCCATTTTCTGACGACATTTTATTGAATTCGAAGAGTGTGGATGTAGTTGTTTGCTCTGACAATAGAGGTTGAATATTAGTTTCATTTCAGCAGTACGCGTTCGATGCTGTCTTCTTTCACTAAATCTTTGTATTTCGCAGGAGAGCTTTAAATGAAAATGGCGGATTATTCGGTATCGATGTAAATAAGACTTCTGACGACGAATCGAGTTATGAATTTAAAATTTGGTTGGTTTGGTATTAGATTAATATTGGGCCAATAATATTAATATTGGGTTGGGGTGAATTAATATTAGAAGATCACTCTACGACACTTTTATTAAAAATTACAACGTGTAGCGTTCATCATGGTGCATAATCTTTTATTTATGTATGATGCAATTTCCTGTTTTAACGATATTTCGATAACAGCTTCCCGGTGTCGGATGATTTCATAAATATTGCCATCCGTTTACAGTGGAAATTAATAACAACATAAATTATAACACAGAATTATTATAAACGAAATGTTAATCATTTTTAACCTCTCTTTCAGTATCTCGATTATCATGTACATTTAATATCATATTTATTTATTTTAAATTTATTGTTTATATTCTGGAGGTATATAATATTTTAGCTTCGATAATTAGCATTTTAATAAATTTATATTAAAGGAATAATACGCTGAAAGTGATATATAAGAATTAGGTTTAGAATAAGAATTTATAATCTCTTCCTCATTATTTTCAACATCCTGTTTATTTTATGTTCATTCATTACCATATTCAATTTCGTTTGTTATTTATTACTTGGAGTCTGGAAATGTCTACTAATTTAACCATGATATACGATATATCGTCAAAACGCATAAGCATTCCAATCGATCATTAACAACCCGTGAGACACGGAAGAAGAAAGATCGGGGTAGAAACGCTGATGTTACAGCATGCTTCGAAATTGCAAGAGTCAAAGTCGAGGAAGTTAAACAAACAGTTTCGTATCTCGTAATCCCCTGCTCGGTTGACGTCCATACGTCTTTTTGCGAAGAATGCAATTGAAAATGAGCAAAGTGAAAGCGCAGTTGGGCAATGTCATCGAATACACCGTGAGCTGGAAACTAATGCAGAAACGAGAAGCGTCACGCTTGTTTTATAATCGTCGAACGATACCGTCCAACAATCATTCGAACATTAGATCGCGGACATTAAATGGCGGAGATGTAGACATTATGCGAATGGAATTGGCTGGAATAGTCGACAGAGAAACACCAACAATGTTCCTAAGTATCGATGCAAAATCAATTTTGGAACATCTACAATTTCGTAACTTTGAGTCCAAGTCTGCCACGTACTTTTCCACTCTATAGTCATACACTTTGGTCTAAGCACCATTGAAATTCGTTCTTAGCTTCCAATAGAATCAAGACATGTCTCAGGTACGTCCTCCATATTTGGAATTCATTCAGACACACGTAGTCAAGACCCAGTAATGCAATTAATCAATAAGAATCTTCACTGTGATGTATGAGCTGAGTGTTTATGACAGTTAATTTCTAGTTACTATAATATGGTTACGTACCGAACTGTACACTTGTTGTTAGTCTCCTATTGTCTTCCTGCCGGAAATACTCATAGTACTCACGACAATTAAGTTCTACAAGATTGCCATTGACTTTTTTTAATTATTTGTGCTGCGTTGTTGCGAGTCTAAAATGGCTCCTTTGACAGTTAGGATGATTGAACAAATGTTGATAAACAGAATAAACTCTGGATAAAATGATCTATATAAAGTGCATTGTTCGTGCTGTCCTCTGGTAGGGTAGGGACCTTTACTAGGCTATCTCTGGAAAGGTGACAGGGTGAAGGTAAAATCAGTTCAGCACCAATTACCAACTCAATATATTAAAATTATAAATATAAAAATCTCTCTATAAAAATATACTAAAGTCCTAATTGCGTTTACTAATATTGATTTTAATTATAGAATTGACTACTGCACAATACAATAGTTGTTACTCTCAGTTGTTCAGCTGTGTATATATCTTTCATGGAATGCAGACAGATAATCTAGCATTCCCTCTTACCCTATTCTTCATCCTTTTTCATTTAACTCAGACCAAATACGTGGATATTTACAGGATATTTGAGTTACTGCAGCTAAACGAAAATATATATCTAATATCTTTGGCTACTCCTTAAGTATCATTCAAGTCGGAGGTGGACCTTTCACGACACCGGCTTCCGCGTGCAAACTTCTGAACCCCATCATAGTAACAAGACCAAATTATTCGAGTCTCGATTTCACATTTTTACAAATACCTAATTATCACGTGATTTACTTACATGTACATACACCTATTCAGAGACATCCAAATTCACTACATATGATTGACTTTGGTTCCAGAGCGAGGACGCCTGCACAGTGTGCCTGTTCTGCGGTGGCTACCAGTGGCAACTATGTCCAGTGTGCAATGGTAGCAAGAGATCAGTTCATCGCAATGACTTCACCGCGGAATTCGTGGCCCTGAAGTGTGCGAAATGCGACGTGAATGGCCTGATTCGCTGTCCCCACTGCTGAGGCGCTAGTAGTAGAGAAAATGGCGGCCGCGTGCCCTAGGAGGAGCGACGCCGTCATTCCTGACGCTGTCACTGAACCGCATACGAGAAGTATATTGCATGTCTAAACACGTTGCAGAGAGGTACACGCTGTCGCGTCACGAGCCAATAGATAATCTGCCGTTCGATCGTCGTGCAAAGCGCTGTCTCGACTCGAATTTCTTTCTTCTTTCTCTTCTATTTGCTTCTGTTCCATTCAGAGCGCAAATTTCGCGACGTGGAATTGAATTATGGGAAGCATTCGCGGAAATACGAGATAAAACGGTACTGGCACGCTCGATCGTGGATACCGGCACGACTCGTTGGCGCTGATCGCAAAATCACGCACGTGAATTGTAAAATATCGACTAATAAAGCTTATCTAATGTTTTGTAACATGCAACCAGTGTATCTGTCACTTTGTATTTTACTGCAGCCACCTCATCTCCTTTCCCGTGAATTCTGAGACATCGTGGTCGGTCATTTTTGAAATCAATATATCAGAGGATGGGATATGAGAGTCATCTTCTGATGCAAGAATGTTGTTGTTGCTAGGTGATCAAGGCACATCATTGTTTTCTAATTATAGTTATTTTTGTTTTGTGGAAATTATTATATTTTGACTAATGTTGCTTCATCTTAAACTTTTAGTAATGTCGAAAATCTGTAGAACCTGGAGAGTATCAATAATTAGAGAATCAAAGTGCATTCCCAAAATGATAATCGTACATTATAAATACATTCTGAACATCTATTCCTGAAGTGAAGTATGGTATAATAAATTAATTCTTTGTTTCCTTACAGGAAAGTAATGTCAAAGCATTTAAGTAGCCTGAACCGATGACATACAAGCAAAATGTTTTCATTACTTCACTTTATTTTCAGATTTAATATTATTTTTGCCTTCTCCTCCACCTCCCACTTGAAGCAAAATTTTAATTTTGCCGTTAATTTGTTAAAAAACATGATCGATTTACCGCCTATTTTTAAACAGCTGACATCTTTGAACCTGGCAGTTGTTCCCCTTTTCAAATGCACTATATTAAAATCCTCCCTTTTAGCCACCAAGTGACACGAAAGCCTGAAAATCAACAAAAATAGACTTCTCCTGTTTTCCACACTTGGTATGCAAGTATCTGTATTCCCTCTTATAATTCATTTATGAATCTCCTTTTCACCCGAAATCCATATTCCATATCAAACAGTACTCATTAAACCATTAAATTTTCTGTTTTATTTCTCTCATTTCCAATTCCTACTCCAATTTGCAGATTGCAAGTTTAAAACTGCAATTTGAAAACAGAATAAACACAGAGCACGCACATACATCGATCTGTACATCTCGCTATTAACACATTAGACATAAAGTTAAGTACACAACCTAAGGACTCGACGTTCCAGTGCTATAAGCCGCATTTACATATGTATGTAACAATTTGCAGTAGCTCTTCATGAAACAAAACGGATGTTTACTCTTTGTTGAAACGAGTTAAAACGAATTGAAATTCCTCGAAGAACGAGATCCACGTCCATCCATTTCATCGGTTATATCTGCTGTGGTAATAGAGGTGCATCGAGTTACACGGCATAATAAGCACACTTTCGTTTCGCAGGTAATCTGATTATCGCGCGAAGAAGTCTCGCAATTAACGCGAGACGAGGCGTTTAATTTCTTGCAGATCGAGATTCGAATCTTTCCTTTATGCCGCCATTAGTATCTTATTATCACCTAACCTTCCTCGCGATTCTCAAATTTTCCCGAGAACGAACGTACAAACTTCTTTAATAATTTCGCGAGGCACTTGGGATTTCTAATTACTAATTTTTTCCTCGTAAATGCGAAAATCGTTCATTTAATATCAAAGCTGTGTTTAATGAGCCAGTAAAAGCTAATTTGATATTTAGAAATCTGTATATGACTTGATCACTTGAAATTGTATTATCAAATTATTTATTCGGTAAAAAAATGGTTTATACGATGCCGAATTATCACGAAGTCACTTATATGACTAGTTCTTCACTTCACTGTATCGAGAATACTTTCATCATAGATATCACAAAACATAACCTCTTTTACTCCGCCATGTCTTATTATATGCCACTTAATATTCTTCCCTAATTACAATAATTAATTTTTTTCTAAATTCAATGTCACACACAATATAAACAGTCCAAGAGAAGTAATCAAAAAGAATTTGTGTCTCTTAAAAATAGAAATTCTTAATTTTGCCATACCAGTAACGCTTTCATTATAGATTTCACGAAACATAACCTCTTTAGTTCCGTCATGTCCTAATCCATACTATTTAATATTCTTGCATTTTATTTTGTTTATAAATTCAATGTCACACTCGATATAAACAGTCTGAGAAGAATAATCAACACTAGTATGTACTTGTTAAAAGAATATTGCAAGCAGAGTCAAGTTTCCGATATTTTAGCTGGATATAACTCGCGAGTGATTCGAGGTGGTCGTGTTAGATGTCACTCTGTGTGCATAATCGTGCGCGAGTATTGAAGAGTGCTAAAATTGGATATTCGGATTATTTCGTGGCACTGGGGCAAGATATTTAAAAAAAGAAAGGGGACCCATTTGCTCGTTAACGCACGTTAACGCAATTAGCGACGGGAACGACAACTCTGGGGATGCTCGGTGACTGTGGATTGCACATTGAAGCTTCCCTGAACTGGCCGCTGTAAGTTCAGTGGATTACAAACTCGCTTAATCCGCGGTCTCCGCATAAACTTTGTCGTCCACAAGTCAGTATGCAGTTACTTAATCGATACAGCTTCCATTTCCCTCGATAATCCGTTCATACTGCGTCAGTCAGCTGGTTAAATTTTGCATCGATGTTAATAAACCAAGTGTACGTCTGCTCGAAAATTTTACAGGAAATTTGAACCCTTTAATTCCGATACTGTAGAAATTTCTTTGTCATATTGTAAATACAGGTATGGAATTGAAATTGCAAATTGAACTAGTTATTCGACTATCGTTGCAGTTTGTGTATTTCAGTAAACAAGGTTCAAGATGGTGTATTAATTATGTTTGCAGTGTATTATTTGGTTACATAATTTATTTGTATATTATTATCTTATTTTTCTTTTCGTAATATCTGGTAATATATTAATCGCTTATACGTTTCGATAATATATCAAGGTAATATCGCATCGCATGCTTCTGCTTGGAATTTTATATTCTCGTTTATCACGTTGCGATTATTTTCCATTGTGAATATTAGAATTCCATTCTGTACAGGTCATCATCTCGATTATACGTGCAGTAGGAAGATGATTGAATGTAAATGTGAGTTCCTTTGATTTTTATATATGTTATACTGTTATAGTCATAAAATTAGCGATCATTAAAACTTGGTCTTTATCGGGATATAAAACTAATTAAGAAAGTTGAGCAACTTTAAATGAGTACAAGCAATCTTTATTAGCTCGTTGTACATTTCCGATAAAATGGCGATGCAAACGGTAAAAAGTAACATGGACATTTTAAGTTTTCGTTATATCCTCACGAAAATTGGGTGTGAACACAGCAACTAAGAATTTAGTGAAATAATTATAGCTGGCTTGGTATCAGCTTATTATCTAAAATCAATGATGGTTTTCTATAGCATTTCTACGTTCTAAATTATTTTTCCCATATATAGGAAAATATATGAAAAATATATATATAATAATATTTGAATAATATACGTGTATGTAAGTAATTACATTCTCATAACGAATAATTGCAATCTCAATTGATATAACTCGTCAAACAAATATTTTATTGTATTAGTGTAATTTATGTGGCCAAAATAATGTAAATAACTCATGATACTAAATATTGTAGTGTAATTTATAACTCAATTACTTATCTCAAATGTGCTTATTACAAATTCATAACATTTTTCTTAGTATTCGAAATTTGTTAATATGTAATGAGTTCATTCAATAATTTCGTAAAGAATATATTTTATATTCTAAAAGCACTACTAGCTAAAAGTTAGAGACTACCCTATTATGCATTGCATTTTATAGCATAATTACTGAAGGTACTTCTAACGGCCGCATGCTTTTACTGGACCAGATAGAAATAGATAGTACAAATTACTTTATGACTGTCTCTTGGTATCTCAATTTGTTAATAAATCGCCAGTGTAATGTCAGTGAAAGTGGTTAGCTCTCTTGAACACTCTATTCGTCGACATTTTTCGAGTAATTTCTTTCATTCATTGGTTGTAATAAACCATTAATACATCCATACATTCATTTTAATTTACGAACTTGAAATGATAAAGAATTCTCTGTGTGCCTAAAGCAACTATAATTCAATAAAGAAAAAAAAACTATAATTCAATAAAAATGGGGAAAATATTACTACGTACCTGAATTGAACAGTCATAAACTTTCCTTCTCCTATGTAAAAAAAAATTCTTTTCTCTCACTCTCTTCCATTCATATAACACGTAGTGCCTGAGCAAACATTAGAAGAACCTGAACAGAAATAGGAAAAATACAAATGAATTCAGACCTAACCCAAACTTAACTTAACCCCAATGGAAGTGTCCAAAAAATATTTCGACTAAGAAGCCATTCGAGAAAGTTTATACGCCAAATGTTCTTATCACGCCGGTCTTTATGCAAATTATATCTTCGTTTCCCAGCAATCCCTGATGACCGAGTATTTTTTAGAGCAACAGCCTATGAGGGAACTGGTTCACGATTGCCCGTCGCGTTTCTCAAAAGAAAAGAAGGTTTCGAAGGTTATTTCTGTAAAAGAGGAGGAAAAAGAGAAAGGATGACACAACAACGGCACAATGGTTTCATACTCGGCCGCATTTAATTGCGAAGGCTGGATCGCCGCGGCATAAAGTAGGTTTTGTCCTGAAAAAAATATAGGACAGCACATTCTATGAAGGACTGTCGCCGCTAACGTCCAGGAAAGACGTAGTTCCTGTTCGTTGACTCGCCTCCTTTAATTGCGGAATCCGCGACATAATGGTGTTAGGTATTCACTATTCTCTCACGCGTGTGAAGCTTGTAGCTTACACACTGGATAC